GGAGGGTAAAGCCAGTTAGCAGAGTTCAGTAGTGGCTCAAGAGGGAAAAGTTTTTAAGGTTCACGGGCTACCTAACTCCTAGCGAGCGCTGCCGTGACCCACACTGCTCTGGGGCAGTATGGGTTCATGTCTCACTATCTCACACAAAACTTACCAAACTGTTTGTCATAATTTGCTGTGTTTGTGTTTTACAGTTTTCATTTATCACCGTTGTCTCTTTCGTTCATTCCTTTTCTTACTGTTTTTTTATCGTTCATTATTTATCTCGTTAGTACAGATAATAATAGATTCATAAGTGGCTGTTTTAGAGAAGAAATGTTTCTTGTTTTCTCTCTCTCTCTCTCTCTCTCTCTCTCTCTCTCTCTCTCTGCAACAGTTCAGGTAAAATACAGTGTTTACCAGTTCCCGCCCATCAGCCCTTGCGACTCACACACACACACACCACTACGCTACGTTTACTGCCTAATGTCTGGATAAAGACGTCCATGTACCTATGCTGACAACCTGTTTCACTATGTGGGGTACGAAGATGCATTGCCGTGTCGTGGGCGTGTGGATGAACACTCGCGGTGTTGTGGGCGTGTGGATGAATACTCGCGGTGTCGTGGGCGTGTGGATGAAGAATACTCTATTTTATCAAACCGACCAAAAACGGGGAGAGAGGGAGAGAGAGGGAGAGAGGTATACCCCACTCCTCAATAAGAATGCGTCACAAACATATCCTCTTACCTTCCTTAGTTAACCCAAGCCTAGTATGAGAGTGTCGATATTGCATGACAATATCGATCCGTACTGAAGCTGCTGGGCTAGTGGAGCTATTAAGGCATGTTCTCAGCTGTGTTAAGATGATATAAACTAATAGACTGCCGGTGATTGATGGCTTTGTGTGGTGGTGACATACAGAGGCTGGGTGAGGTATTGATAAGGTCTCCCGCAGGTCCGACACTGGGGGAGAACCTGAAGATTATTTCACCTCAAGATTAACCACTAACGCTTACCTTACCTTACCTAAAACTAACCTCACCCTTAAGGTAGCGTTGGGGAAATAAGCTGGAAACTAATCTTATCTTGATGGAAACTAGAGTCCTCCTATCTTAATCCTAACCTCAACTAATCTAACCTTTCCTAATCCTATCCTGGTTTAAGCCACACTGATGCTAAATTAATACTGTGGCTGCGAAGTGGATGTCTTAGTGTTGTAACAAATGACCACTAGAATTGTGTATATTTCCTTACTCTGTAATTGGTGGTTAGTGGATACATCATATTCTAAGACAATGGTTCTTTTGCGTTCTACAATGTGTCATTATTTCACTTAGTTGTACTGCGGTAATGAGGGGTGAAGATGCTACTGGATGGCAGTTCTCAAAGATAGGATAGGCCGTGAATGTCCTACACACTCACACCAGCTTCACACACTCACACCAGCTTCACACCCTCACACCAGCTTCAAACAGCCTCACACCAGCTTCAAACAGCCTCACACCAGCTTCAAACAGCCTCACACCAGCTTCAAACAGCCTCACACCAGCTTCAAACAGCCTCACACTAGCTTCAAACAGCCTCACACCAGCTTCAAAGAGCCTCACACCAGCTTCAAAGAGCCTCACACCAGCTTCACACATCTTCACTACCTCATTTCCTTACAGAATCTCACGTACATAAATTACCACAATCGCCACTTTCCTACAAGAAAAACTATACATTAATTTGACAATTTTTGTATTACTTATTAAAGACCAAGTTACACATTTTGTTCATACATTACACAAAATTTATTCTTATTTTTCTAATTATCTATAACGTAAAATTCCTTTTGCAAAAATTAACTTAAGTTGTATTATGTGATTTTTTTTCTATAGCTAAGGTTAATTCCTTTAATATAACTCTTGTCCTCAATTAATTAGCTACATGATAATTATTCTATGCATAATAATAATAATAATAATAATAATAATAATAATAATAATAATAATGTATTATTATTACTATCATTAACTTTATATCATTTTTATTATATGAATTATCTATTTTATCTTTAATATCTCTATTATCCATTATTGTTATATCATTATCATTTTATTATCATTGTCATCAAACGAATCTCGAAAGTTTTATCTAAAATATTTCTTCTGTAACGTTTCCCTCGCAAATGACCTATATATTAATGTTATTGTTATTGTCATCCATTTAATTAAAGTGATACTCTGTTGTTCTCTTTAATACTACGGTAGCACCTTTAAACTCATTCAAAGTCATTTAATTCCCCTATTTAATTTCATTCAAAGTCATTTAAGTCCCGCATTTAAACTCATTCATAAACTGTTTTTACGTCCGTTTTCTTTAATGTTATAAAAGAAAATGAAACTCTTACAAGGAGGGACTTAATTAACTTTTTATTGTGGTTGTAAGGTAATTATTTGGTAAATTTGCAGTTTCACTACCAATTGGGTTTTGACCAACAATCTAGATTTAACCCATGGTATTTTGTAATTAATTCGAATTTTATCTTCGTTTCTGTCGGAAATGAGTCGATTTTGAGTTATCACCACCCTACATAAAGCCTGACCTAACTAACCAAAGAAAACTACCTAACCTTAGCTAATTTCCTAGCCGGGGGGCGGATCCCTCGTCATATTAAATAAAAAGTATTTATTTTTATATATGATATCAAAGAAAATAACTTTGTTGTAGCATCATGTCGTAATTTTAAATTTTTTGGTGGACGTGAGAGGACTACACTCAGACCAAGAGGATATCATGCAACAAACTTTCTGGTTGTGTAACCTTTCCTGGCCAAGGCAGAAAGAATATCTCAAGAAATCTCATTAATATTCATGAACTTGGTGCGCATGCATAGCAAGTTCCTCAGGAAGGTTTTGCTCACTGAAGGTTTGTCACACGACACGGGTCAGTTGTAAACAGATGACACCCAGTGACTGCAGATTTACGTTAATTACCTACTTGAATTTACCATCACGGTTATTATCCATTTGAGACGGAAGTGGTATTAGAAAAGGTTGTTGCAAGTGACGAGATATAACTTCTGGTGAACCCAAAATTGCTCTAACCCAATTGGGAGGGAAATTTCAATATCAATTATTTTAATTTGGTGTACTTTATTTTATTTTATCCTCTTTGCCACTGATCGGCCTGTTAGCCGCTTGGGACGTTGGTCACGTCTCTGTTAGGCACTGACACTGTGGGTATGTATTGGCTCTCTGTTATGCACTGTTGACAAGCATGGGTGTCTGCAGGATTTTTTCCAGGGGGGGCTGCAAGATAGCAAGAGAAGACCTGACATAGGACTTTATTCAAAACAGGTATTTAAAAGTATGATAAAGTAAAATCGAGTTACTTTTGAGTTGTGTATGATCTGCAATATCACATACTGTATCAGTGTTACCACCAAATATTAATCACTAAATTTTTCATAAGAGTTGACCTTAAGCATTAAAAACTAAAAATAATTAACTTGATATCACTAATCCAGATGATCCAGTGATGGCCAATGCTAGTTATCTGTCATGGTGACTTGCTCATAACATTAACAGGGTACTTTCAATGGTTAAATAAATACTACGGGTGGCACTTACCAGCTCCAAAATGATCAATCACATTTTTAATGAAGGCTTTCTTTCTTTCTATCTAATACCTTCTGGCACTCTGAACATGCACAATCCAGACAAGGATTCAGTTGACATTGTTGATGGAAGCCATATCTTGACACGTCACTGCGTACCAAATGACCGCTCTACTTCATAAGGCTTCACCGGGATCAGATGCAATTTTCTTCTGGGAATGTTGACGCTACATCCACATTTGAAACCAGGGCTGTGACTCCTCAGCAAAATTATTGACATTGTACTTTTATTTTAATCCTCTTCGCCACCGATTGACTCGTTAGCCGCTTGGGCAATCAGTTATATGTCTGTCTGTCTGTCTGTTTGTTATGCACTGTTGGCAAGTACTGGGCATGTACTGGCTCCTGAATGTATCTGTATCTGTGCCAGTGTTGGTAAAGTTAGGTCTTGAACGAGCTCATACTCAGGTTTACTGGACTTGTGACTTCAAATTTGAGCTGTGACCCCTTGTAGGTTGGACGTCCACCAAAACCCTTTCAAGCTGATGACTATAAAAAAAAATAATAATTTGTGATGTTTAAGCCAACCTGTACAGTACAGTATCTATTTTTCCATCTATTTACTGGGTAAATAGTATACAAGACAGTATATAACATCAACTTAAGGATCAATGTCATTATATACTGTATGGACCAGTATAGGTGTTAATGTTGAAGAGCCATACACTGAGAAGCAGCACTGCACCTTCTTGTCTTGTCTCAAACAGTAAATAAACAGCTACATCAAGTGAAAAGCTCCCACTCTGGGTGCACCAAATCGTCTAAAATCAATTAATTTTCACTTGTTGGGGACTAGTGTACATAACAGTATTTACTAACCTAGAATATTGTACTCGCTTAAATTAAAGACCTTATTTTTTTAAACACATTAATGCAGACATTAACATGTGGCCAACAATATATTTTTTCAGTAATATTTGTACTCAAGATTTGTGCTAAGCAACATTATAAATGTAATATCTGTAAAGAAAGTTTGATTACAATTATGACGTTGCCACATGTTCAGAAAGGTCATCGAGGGGTGAAACACTACCTGTGGGCAACTGTACATAAATAAATAACTGTAGCTGCTCTACTTGTATTTGTATTACTATATTATTAACTTTATTTATTATGTTACTTAGTTTAATCTATAAATTAGTTGGTGCTTAGTGAAATAGTGTTATGGTTTTTTATAATGACCTTCAGTTGATCGAGAATTTCAGTTATCTGAAATGGCTCTGGTCCCAAACATTTTGGGTTTTTAAGTGCAACATACATAACATAATACAATACAGTACAGTACTGTACTGTATCAAGAAATTTAGCTAATGTTCCCTATTTTGTTTTAGGAAATTAGAAGTAAAAATTTACTACATTAATGTTGTCCATTTTTTTTATTCAGTAACTTCAGTCTGAAAAGAGGATCATAAAATAGGCTGTTATAAAATTATAAGTAGAAAAAATACACCGTCTTGTGCAGTCATATTAAATAACACTTGGTTTCAACAACTCGCTTCATATACCGGTATACTTCAAAGAAATTAGTGTGAGATCTTAAATCCTAAAGCGTTTCTTAGCTATAAGGCAAACTGCATTATGTACAAGTATACAGTACAATACTAGAAGATGTAACTCTAGTTGTCATAAAAAATCATTAGATATGAACTGTATAAATAACATTTACTTTATTTAGTATGATAACTTTTAGGTAAATTGTATGTATTATACGAAGTAACCTAAATTTGTGCCACATTTTTATGCAAGTAAGATCACAATATTTACCTGACACACATACAGTACAGTACAGAAAAAACACAGAAATTTAGAAATCACTTATGCGCAGTTTTAGAAAAATGGCATCTTTAAAAAAAATGAATACAAAACTATCAATTCATTGCTGATATTTTTAGAACACAGTATTGTACTAAAGATTATTGTTATTATTATTTTTTTTTAGTTTCCTGTATTTGCATAGAATATAGTACTACTTGCCACCCCTCATAGGCCAGTCATGTTATCTCATTGAACCATAACTTTTCATCACCTGTTTAACAATCAGAGGAGTTTAAATTTATATTTGTTGTTTAATAAATACTGTACTAAAAGACTCGAGCAAATTAAAATCACATCATGGGTAAAGTGAAAACTGTAGATGACTTAACTAATAATTTTGTGGATCTGTGGTTGAGGCACAGAGCCATTCACCTTAATGTTTCAATAATTGTAGAGATTCAATTTAGTGGAGCACAGCCATTAAACAGAATATCCTAAAAACAATTTACACATAGTATTCAATATCACTTAGAGACAATAAGTCACCCCATGCCACAACACTGTCAAGAACTTATACAGTATCTGTAAAATGAAAGTGAAAAAAGACATACAATCTGTGATGGTCCTGTAAATAAGTAACAAAGACTCACAATGCAAACCAACCAAATCTTACCCAATCTAACTAATAAATATTGCAATACCATGAAGATAAGTAAGATGTAGTTTGGTTGATTTGTTTTGTCTGTATAGTAAACAATGTACAATATGCATGCCTATTTTGCCTTTAAGTGAAGAGCCAAGTATCAACGAGTAGCCTCTGTTAGTTCTATTAATCATTAAGTATAAAACACACTGTCCAAATATAACTGAATTATGTGGTTCTGCTTCACCAATCACCTTCATCACTATCATTTTCATCATCATCATCCTTGTAACCACGAATGGAGTTCAGCAAAACGTCTTTCACTCTTGGGCCGCGGGGATCTGACTCCAAGTCTGTTTTGAACCCACCAGTGCGAGACAATATCCACTCCAGCTCTACAAAAAAACAATGATTAAGGAGATTAATGACCACCTGTAAGGGACTGTAACCACACTCTAAATTAAAAGCATTATAAATAACTGTTCTTCCTATACTGTACTGGTATTCAGATTCGGTACATCAAAACATACAGTATTTCACAATCTCTTTTTAGGTAACAAACTCACATCATTCAACCTTTTTTATAGCATCAAAACATCTTTCACTAACTTTCTATGTAATAATAGCAAGTCTTGATTTTACATTTCTCATAATTCCTTCTTGTTCATTGATTCCATAAGTGCTACAGTACTGGATTGCCAGAATCAAGTGCAAAACAAACTCTTCCTCATTTGCTGTCATTCATTCTCTTGAGCTGCACTACCAAATGTATTACTGTATTCTGTTATTGTATCTCCTTCCCAAGTTACCTCAATTAGTGTATCCATGTCCCTTCATATATAACATCCGAGCATCACAGATCAACAGCACATCCACTTCAAATCCCTCCCAAGTTAAAATTTCCAAAGACAAGGAATCCTAACAATGTAATCACTTTTCTGATCAGCTTAACTCACCTTCATACTTAACCCTGTCTCCACCAACTTCGGCTACTCCAATAAACTGCCGCTTCAATTGGCCCTCAAAGTAGACAAAAATGGCAGGAAGGTTACGATCTTGGAAATTTGGGATACATGTCGTGGATATTGACTTCAAAAACTTTACCTGGAATTGAAAGTATTCAATAGCATTTTGAGCATTTAAAGTATAGTTAGGACATACACTTATATGTATTAAAGACTTTTCAGCAGAGTATCAGTGACTTGCAATATAATAATTCATTCCTAACTTACTTGGGTAAAAAAATGGAACAATGCAAAGTGTGCAAAAAATCTTCAAACTAATGAGAATTGAGTGTGTGGTGCTCTTGTCTTCTGTTCATTAAAGTGAAAACTAAAGTTGATGTATGTACAGACAATCATTACATACTGGTATACATTTTGTAAGGACTTATAGTGTGAATTTCCATAGTTAATCAGTAGGCTTATCCCTTATAGGATTTTATGCCATAAAGACCTTTTTCTCAGAATTTAAATTTAATGTGACTAAATATGATGTACATCCAGAATAACTCTCAAACACCAAAAAGTGACCTTGAAAAGCCATAGATGGCGAGTAATTAGCATTGCAAATAGGGCTGGCAAAAACCTTTTTTTTTTTAAACAAATACATCATTTTGCTAATATGTAGGATTTAATAAGTTTTAAGTATTTTTAGCCCTTTATATAACTTTTTAATATGCTTTTAATCATAAACATTACATTCAGGATGATTTAGCAATTATTAATATGCTTTTCCATCTCAAAAAATATCACTGAGAAAAGGCCAAATATGAAAAACACAATCGTTGATCAGTCATCCAGACTCATCCTACATCCTACATGCTTGCACGGATTTCCAATGTGCGGACATGTACCAGTATGATATACCCATAAAAAATGAGACCCCACTGTATAGGTATTTCCACAAATTTATACAGGAGTTTTATGGTCATGAGGAAATAGAATTAATATTTAAATTCATCCATTTTTATGAACTGTATATAAAATATTTACATGTAATATATGTACAATATCATACCTGAGGATATTTGGCTGCCAGTCTTGAGATGTGTTGATTGATGAGGTCACAGAGGGGAATCCCTTGTTTGTACAGGTGTAGGAACACCCATATACCAGGACCTGCACTATTCACTTTCTCTACATAGTCCTGAGCACTGATTTCTCCAACCTGTTTAAGTATACAATTCAATATTTAACTTATGTCCTCAATACTTGTAATATTGCCATGATGAAACATTTCAAACCATTGTAATGTTGCCAGGTTTTGTTATGGATTTCACTTCCTATAAAAAATAAATTTATATTACTAAGAAAGATGCATTAGCATGAAATTATTAAAAATGAAAGTTAATGAGTGTGGTAAAATTATGAATGGCCCCAAAACCTTGTATCAATGTCACATAGTCCATTAAAATAATAGAGAGCAGTACCCACAAAATATGGAAACACCAAAGAATTATGAATTGAAAAATACATTAACTTAGTCTTTCAGACCACCACACAGGCTGCAACTCATCCTTGGGGTATGCTACACACTCGAGTCAGTCCTTGATTAATTAACATTCAGCACACAATACACTGTAGAGATGGAGTTCTACAGTGTTGTTTGTTTAGATTTTTTGTATGTCCAGGTAGTAATGATGAGTGTAAGCATAATAGCATTGCTGATAAAGTGAAGCAGCCACCGCTACACCTCTGCATCTGGGTGTAAGCAGATCACCTTATAGTTTTGTTTTTTGTACGTTACTGATAGGTCATGTCTTTGTTTTTATATTTCATGGACCATCAATACAGAACTACAGGTACTATAAATGTTCACACAATGGGGAGCTTTTTACACCAACTCTTTGCTCTGACAGGGAATGATGATCATATTAAAAAATGGGTAAATTATAAAGATGATCACCGTTGTTGCAGGATAAAAGGTGCCCGTCATCTATTTACGGCCACTGGCGTTTAAGGGTTAATGTGTATACAATACTTTCATTTTCGAACAGTTTGTAGTGTATACTTAGAAAAACTATACCCCACAACCACCCCCTTAGTTTCTTGTAATAGCATATTGATCATATAGTTTTAATTAAACTCATTAGTGTTGCACGTAAGATTATTATTATTATTTTGTTTTTAGATTTATTGTTTCCTTTTCAAACATTATTAAAACATGTTTAGTGTCACTTCAATTATTTCAATGGCAGTAACTGGGAAAATCCACTTCAATTTAAGGTCAACATACAATTAGAACAACCAGGAGTGCTTTTATTTCATAGTTCAGTAAATTCTCTGCAGAAAAACTCTTAAGTCACTGATCAAACTCACCTCTCCCACACTAGTCCATTTAACAGGAGTTTGCATTCAATGATCATTCAAAAAGACAGTGAAGAATTAAAAGAAAAAACACTTTAGCTATTTTCCTATCATTTGTTTTTCTATCACCCTTTAATTTTCATTATACAGTGCGAATCATCCACCGTCAGGAGTGCACCATAGTCTTAGTCATCACGAAGGTATAGAAAACAAAATTACATTATCAAACGAAGATAAAAAGATTTACTTACCTCTCCAAATTTACACAATTCAGCCTCGGCTTTCATTTCTGCGATCCTTTTCCGACGATATTCAAGAAGAATGACCTCATCCTCATCATCTTCCAATTCATCTAACTCATCTAAAGATAGCTTTCCTAATCTTGCATCTAAAAAACAAATGAGAGAAGTTACAAATTACCTAGTACAGTACAGTACCACCCCCCCCCCCCAAAATCTTCCCTCATAAAATACAGTCAGCACAAGTTTGAGGCCATCGAGCCATGTTACTTTAATACAGACCTAACATGACAAACACTTATAACAGCCTTAAGCTTTCTGGACACTAATGTACAAGTTTCAGGTGCTGCTGTATATCACTTAAGTTTGTATCTAATGAGAGTTGGTCAAAGAAAATGATTGCATAAAATCAAGTCATAATAATCATAATTGACAAAATGTATGATGATTTAATTCAATTTCCTAATACTGTACTGAAACACCCTTTTCATAAATGTTCTTTTTATGCTGCTTGGCTGAGGTAAGAATTCAATCTTTCAACTGTACTACATTTTGGGAAAATATTCCAAAGTTTGATGAGATGTTAAATATTGATATTGAAACAGTTCATTTAGCCAGAAAAACACAGAGTGGACAATAATAACAATAGTACTGACATGGCTGAGCTAATCAATAGCCTGAGCTCTTAGTATCATCTGGATTAGTACATGTAACAGTGTTAGTAAATACATATTTGAATGTTACCACAATTATCACCTTTTTTAACATTTATACTATAAGTATATATACTGTACATATTTTACCAGTATTAATCTGGTAGATGAGGGAAGCAATACAACATGGTTTGTGTTAGGGTGAAGCAAAGGAACAGACAGTCAGGATAATGGGTTGACGGCAAATGTATAATTACGTATTGCAGTGGTAATTTCTATCTACCTGACAATATATGATATGATGTAATGGTTTTGATGGTAAGGTGCTATAAAAATATTAATGCTTGGACAATAGATATTTTTAAGAGATGATTTAAAGGAAGGCAGTGTAGTCTTTGTTCAGATGGGTGGGGGGTAAGTTATCCCATTCATCCAGTGAAGGCCATTAGATCCCAGTTTCCATTAATAAGTGAAGTCAGACTCTGCTTTTTGCCACGATTTCAGGTTAACATGGGTGATGTTCCTGTCATACCTGCACTCTGCTTCTCCTGTATGGTCTGCTCCAGCATCTCCGTCAGAGCCTCCTCCGTCACCTCTGGTTCCTTGGGTGGCAAGATTCCTTTTTGCCGAAGAATGTCGTTCCATTCTGTATCTTCTTCAGTGTTCTGGAAATTATTACCATACAATAACTTAATTTGTACCAAAGAAGGATGTGACAATATCCAAAAAACACTTAACAAACTAAATGAATCTACTGAAGCTAATTAAAACTTATCTCGTTTATGCCATAGGTGATAAGTTCAGTCTTAAAAATCAGGATGAAATTATTTTTTGGGGTACTTAGTATTAATGCTTGTAAAAATCATTCTGTATTTGGTATTATTTTAGTTTCAGTCATCCAGGGAATCTTAGGAATTGGGTTACATTAGGTAGATTAGGTTAGATATCCGAAATATGTTTTTCCGATGGATTTTGATTTGTTTTGAACGAACTGGACCATCATATGTCGTAAATCACATAGTTTGGATCCTTAACTACACAGATGGCCAAAACTCAAATTTTACCAAGTACATTATTTGGAATAATGAAAACATATGTGGTCCACACATAATATAAGTAGTAAGAAAAAGCCACACTTTTTTCCTTGGGTAATTTCTCTGAAGAAATTCGTCAGGTTGCTGCTAAGACTAGACCACTCTCATCAAATATTACCCTAAACTTGCTTCATTGATATCCATTATTTTAAAGTTACACCCAAATGCCCAATTAAATTCTATTTCATTGTCAAAATTACAGTCATAAAGTCGTACCCATAAATTAGCTTTAATCCATTTATCTGTAAAGTAAACAAGGTCTGAACTCAATTAACATTAACCCGAGGGGGATAGTTTATTGGGCACCCCCTTACATCCTGTGCAAGGTGAGGCGCAGAAAGTCCCTGTGGAGGATGGTTAGTGACCTAGTTCTAATGACCATCAATACCTGCCTAGTTCTAATGACCATCAATACCTGGTTCCTAGCCAGAATCAAATATGGTCAACTTTCACTGGCTTAATGATTTGGGGGATACATATAAAATTTTAAATACATTATTTATCCAGTTACCTGCATTTTGGATGGTCTTCGTGTCCGGGTATGAGAGCACTAACAGGCCGAGAACTCACTAATTATAGCCCGGGGTGACGGTGGCACTCCTGGCACTCCTGGCACTCCTGGCACTGTTTACACTCAGTGGATAAATCAGTATTACCAATGCAGTTCGGAACCTTTTAATGTGCTAATGTTGTGACAAGGCTGACGTGGCCACTACAAATATTTTTTACCTACCTAATTTACCTAATGACCACCACAGCTAAAGGTGGTTCATATGCAGAGGAAAGGAGGCCAGTAAAATAGGTTGAAGTAAGCTAAGTAAAGTGATCGCTCTTCATGCTAGTGATTTTGTTAGTTATCTCCACTCTTGGTCTCAATCGCGTACATTGGTAACATTGGCTCTCATTCCTTCTTGCACTTTCTCGAAGTCTATGTTTATATATTCTGATTTGCCTTTACCGTCATTATGCTGTCTTTATAAATGTATTCAAATGTAAGCGTAATAATTTAATGGAGAAAATATGTGAAATAGTTCATTATTGAGTATTAGAGGATGTTAAACAATGACAGCTAAAGTCGCGGGAACTTCAAGTATCCAAAGGTAACCACTTTACTTTTTCTTTTATCCTCTTCGCCACTGATCGGCTCGTTAGCCGCCCAGGTGATCGGTCACGTCTCTGTTACTCACTGTTGGCAAGTACTGGGCATGCACCGGCTCCTGAATGTACCTGAACCTGCTCCAGTGTTGGTCAAGTCTTGTCTTGAAAGAGCTCACACTCGGTGCCGTCACAACACTCTCTGGTAGGTTGTTCCAAGAGTTCACAACCCTCACTCAGAAAAGGTTGCCCTCATAGTTTTCTGGACTTGCAGCTTCTTCAATCTTGAACTGTGACCCCTTGTGGGGCGAGCGTCCGCCAGCTCCAAGTAAGGACACTCGACTGAGTAGTGCCCCCTGAGATGCTTATACACCTCAATTAGGTCACCCCTTGCCCGTCTGTAGTGTATATAAGCTAGGCAAGTTCAGGCGCTCCAATCTCTAAGGGTAGCTGAGGTGCCGAAGTGCAGGTTGGTACCTGCACTCGGTTGGTCTCTATAATATGATGGTAACACCTTTAAAGTCATTCAATTAAGTCATTAAAATCCCATATTTAAACTTATTCATAAGACAGTTCATGTACGTCGGTTTTATCTAATGCCATAAAAGAAATAAAACTTTTAAAGAGGGGGACTTCTTTACTTTTATTGGGTTGTAAGATATTGCAATTTTTTACTGAAGTGAACTTTATTTTATTTTAGCTTCTTCGCCACTGATCGACCTGTTAGCCGCTTGCGAGGTCGCTGACGTCTGTTACTCACTGTTGCCACTGGATATGCGCTGGCTTTCTGTTACACACTGTTGACAAGCATGGGCGTCTGCAGGATATTTTCCATGTGGATGCAATAAAGCAAGACAAGTCTTAACATATCAATTTATTAAAAAAGGGATATGCATCATATAAGGGTATGATCAAGTATAATCGAGCTACTTTCGAGTAGAAATAAGACCAGGTATCACAAGGGACCTGGCCATCGATTCTTTAGTATCGGTATTCCCTCTTAATGTATAATCTGGCCAAACCTTGCTGTGTTTAGCAGCAAGGGAGAGGAGATGTAGGGTGCCTTGTTGATGGAGGATGGAAGGGGTATTGTAGAGTGCCTTGTTCAGGGGGGTGGAAGGGTTAGGTGTGGTGCTGGTAGCTGTAGTAATGGTGGTAGTGATAGCATTTGTAGCTACTTTGTCTTCCCAATCATGCCCAGCCATCGTATCTCCTCAATTCCACCAGTCATCCTGTTCCTCGCAATGTAATCGTAATTTCATTATTTAACACAATTTGGTATAGTTACCCACGAAATATTGTGTCACTATCACAGAAAACGAAAACACTGTTTTATTACAGAAAACCTAAATATTCATTTATAAGTATAACATGCGAAAATTTATTTCAATTGAGTCGCTTCTGAAAGCTCGTGTGTACTACATTATAATAAAGCCTGTCATTATCTAACGGGTTACCTCATGACCTAACTCATTCAATACAAGTTGCATCTTTCTCCTGTATCGCCAACCACGCTGTAACAGGCTTTACCTCTCTCTCTCACTTGGCATATGCTACTTGTGCCCATACGTCTTGAATCTAATTGGTATTAACAAAACTTTAATACCTTACAAACTGAGATGATGTACTGTATTATATGTTTCTATAACAGGAGACAGAGAAAGCTTTTTTTTTTTACTGATAACAGATCGCCAACCGTTTCAGGTTGAAGTGGTACTTCAATGTTATCTAGATGCGCGTCCCCTTCAATCTTTATATTTTTTAAGAGCATCAAACAAGATAAAATTGCTGCGCATTTTTTTTTATAACTTCACGTTAAGTACAGAGTAGCCTGAACATTTCTTTTTCCACATGAAATTCGACACATTAATGAAGTTTTTAAACATTTGCATTTTTTAAATCACACATTAGTGCCTAAACTTTTGTGTATAAAAAAGTAAATCTTGTACGTAAAACCATCTAAATTTGGCGGACCATAGGGCATAAACATTGTACAGGCAGCTGTTTAAACATCACAAATTTTAAATATTGACTGAGGCTGAAGAGTATACAAAAAAATTGGGCGATCACATAGGGGTATTAATGAAATGAGCAGTACTTCACAGCTCCTTTTGGCTACATGACAATTTAAAAAATGTTGTACTGGCTTCCAGATTTGACACCTGCGGTATAACATGTTAAAATTTTGTACAGTACATCCTAAACATTATTAGGATGGAAAAACCTTTGACGTCGGGAAAAGCTTACTCGGCTATCAGGTAATATGTGACGTAACTGCTTTGTTCAGTTGCCTAAATCGTCACACTCGTCGTAGATTTGAATTTATTCTTTGTCTCGGCATGAAAGATTAAGAGCTGAGCCTGTAGGGTTGCCGATATCCCTATATCATAATTATTGTAAGTTTAATAGCTCCTCGGTTTTAAACAGAAGGCTGGTGAGACTTTTGGTATAATGTTCCGCTGGCGTAGTACTCGAGATGAGATAATGTATAGGTCGTTCTTAACTATGTATGGACATTCTGGTGGTTACGTTGAGATAAAATAATGTTTTAAAAATTTCACAGCTATGTGCTAATTATGATCTGAAAATTTATTGCATCTTAAATCATCCTTTCTTCAAATCCTAACAATAAAGTCAGGACTGCTAAGAGGAACACTGACGCCCCTCTCTAATGCACGGACTGTATATGATACCCTTCTGGCCCAGTGTGTAAGTCTGTCGGTTATTGCTTCTGAGAAATGTACACCAACATATCTTAATTCAGTTTAGCGTTCTTTGTCTCGGTTAAAAAAGAAATTTTTAATTTTTGTATTGTTAAAACAGATACTGAGGTTATTACTACGAGTATCAGCTTCTTTAAATGGCAGGCCTTTTCCGACACTTTGTAAGCCTACCGCTGTGTGTGTATCCCATAAAGTGCGTAGTCTGATGACGCAACACACCATGAGGATGACGGCAAACTAACGATTAACGATAACATGTCCAGTCCTGGCACAACTAGATTTAATTAATTAATGTCACTAATGTATTTATGTACTGTATGTACTTATGCATATGTGTGTAGGTATACGTATGTATCCATCCATCAGTATCCGTATGCATGGATATATTTCACCCAAATCTCTAAAGATTAATGAAACAATTTCAACATAACCTTACACAGTGACCAGTCGGTGGTAAGTTCGTGCAACAACGGGATTGCAGGACTAAACTGTTCAAATTGTCCCCACTTGATATCTAATTGGTCCGAATGTTAAATTAGATGGCCCGGAATATTTGGTATCAGTTGTTGAAATTCCATAAGATACAGAAGTACAAATTTTGAGAAACGGTTTCTTCTTGTGCAGTATATAGCTAAAGCCTGACAACAGGCCTATGAATTAAGTGTATTATATTTATCAATCGGTTCCTATACTGTGTTTGGAATAAACCGTTGAAAGTGATATTGAGGAAAGTTCTGGAAGTATAGAGCACCAAGTGAAAGTTGACAAGGAAGATACATATTTATTTTACCATCATAAACTAATCACGATGAACAAGCTCTAAATGTGTGGCCGTCCAGTGAACCGGAAAGGATACACACTCTTGCAACCCTCTAGACGTGAGACATGACGCGCCTCACGTGATCACCCTGCAGTAAGGGCACCTCTTTGTGACCTTCGTGGAAAAGGAGATGAAAGCCACTTGTCAGCTGCCTAATAAGACCAACTGGAAATAACCATCTGGTGGCTTTGTTGGCTTTCTTTGATCGAATTTCCTAACTGTTTACGATTGTATACTCGCACTGTCTAGGCACATATGCAATTGTATACTTCCACGATCTGTGTATTATACTGTGCGGGTATACTGTACAAAAAAAGGTTGTCCATGATTATACAGCACAGGCTGAACTGTATTCCTGTACCTGCATTGTGTATATGCAATTATACATGGCAAATCAGTTGTAAACTTTTACGACAATTTTGCTGTTATTATTATTAGTAGTAGTAGTAGTAGCAGCAGTAGTTATAGTAAAAGTAGTAGTAGTACTAGTAAGAGTATTAAGAGTAGTAGTATTGTTATTCGTGAATGCTGACAAGTGCCGAGTATGTATGGGTTCGTTTATAAAATTACATTACCTCTCCCCCTCTTGTTCAACCATTCACTGTTACAGCTAAAAGAATACATAATGGTCTTAAAAATTCCCCAGACTGTGATATCTGCCCCGATAATAATATGCATCCACTTGGACCAATGAGAACAACCCATTCAAGAGCGGCGCTACGGCGGGCGTCATCTGCACACGGTTCAGCTGCCTCACTGCGCACGGCTCGCTACTCCACGATGCACAGTTTTTCTTAAGTTATACCTTAACTTCTCAATAAACTTCTAGTTAGTTGACTAAATCATGTAAAACTGAGAATAATCCATTTACTCATTGCCATTGAGATAAAAGGCTACACTCGAAGTATATTCCAGTAAGCACAATAGTCAACGCTTACATTTTTCAGTGCCAGTTTTATGCTATTGTAATGAAGCTGATATATATATTGCCATATTAGATTAAGAAATATTAATAAGCTGGTGTAACATGTAATAACAAGATAAAACAA